GAAATCAATGCCATTTTTCACTAAAATAAGTGAGTTAACACTGTAAAGATCCAAATGGAAATACAATGAGGACAAGCAACAAGGAGCAGATTTCCATGCCAGAATCCAGAGAGAAGACCAGCAACAAACAAAGGGGCAAGGCAACTCCAACGCTCAGTGTGGGGAGAAAAAAAACAAGCAAATGCTTTTCCATCAACTGACTATATGTGCAACAAGAGGACACATGTTAAACAGTAATTTTGAACACGCTCAAGCAGAGTGAAGACTGAGCAACTTCACCAGATACATGTACCTCTGCACATTTTTATTTTCCATACCACATACAGCTGTACATATCAGCAAACCATGTTCATTTGATTCCTCAGTTATACATTTTTATCATTAATTTTTTGGTTTTAAAATGTCCGTTGGCTTTCACTTGCTAATAGTTTGATACTCCTCATAATTGAGAATATTTGAAAAGTGCAAAGTTTGGGGGACCAACAGCCCCCGGAATAAAAGAACACCTTCTGTCTCTACGAAAACTACCAAGAAATCTGCAGGCAATGTGGGTGTGGCAGCCAAAAAGGGAAAAATAGCAGGTAAGATCAGTGAAAGTTTCTTCGTTTTGTTATTCTCTACAGCCTTCTATATTCTTGTACTTTTGTGTCATTCACTGCACAAACTGGAAAAGTGTCAAAGATAAGAGCAAGAGATAGGACACTAACTCACCAGCCTGCCACTGTTGCCCTTTAAGGATGGTTCTTCCTTCTTTTGTCAGTCATTGCAAGCATGTGCACATTGAAGAGTAAAATGATTTTTACTTTTTGATATTGTTTATTTAGTGAGTTTTGTAGAATAGTGAGTCATTAAATCAAATTATTTTCTTCCTATTGAAGACAAAAACGGTTTTGTTACCAGTGAAGCTTTACAGCATAATTTAGTCTATTTATAAATTATGCTCTTAATTAATAGGATAGTAATAATAATTGTGGATTAATAAAAGATCTTTTTAATTATTACTTGTATCTCACCAAGTCTGTTTATGATGTTGACACCCCCTAAACCTCTAAGAGTGTGTGTATTAAGTGCCACACTAGTCGGCCATTGAACAGATTGCTTGATCGTATGTTTTGTTGATTTTTTATCGATGTCCTCCCCAATTCTGTTTTTGCAATTTTGTTTCTTTTTTTTTTGTCGTTTCTAAAGTATTGTCATTCTTGTTAGTTGTATTACTAATTTTCTTTTTTTCTTTCTGGACCTCGCAATAAAGCTTGCTCTGTGAATGATCCAGGCCTCTTGGTAAAAAAACAAGCACCCACTTTCCCATTAACAGACTATATGTGCAACAAGAAGACACGCGTTGGACATTATTTTAAACACTCTCAAACAGAGTGAAGATTGAGCAACTTCACTATGCATGTAGACTCAATCAACCAATACACTGATGGCAATTCAGTAAAGCACAATTGTTGGATTTATACATGCATACTTAAATACACTGTTCACAGATAGCCATTACGACACCTGAGGGAGGATCATGAGGTTATCCCTATTTTAAAATCTCTCCTTGCAGATAACCCACCCAGCCCAGGAAAGGTTGGCCAAACCACCGGGGTCTACATCCCCCTCTCCCTTCAAATGGTGTGGGTTCTTTCACGTCCCACAAGAACCAGATAAGTAAGCTTGTTGTGAAACGGGACCTACGGTTTTTCATCCTTATCCCAGAATACTAGAAAATCAAGCCATTTGCAGAGTCATGAGTCTGAGATATTAAAAAGTAATTAAAGGTTTATATCAGTTGTACTACAGTTAATGATTGTGAATTTAAAGAGCCAACAGCAACAGCACTGAACGATTAGAAATACGGATTTTGTTTGCTATTTTTAAATACTTTTTTCTGTCATTTTAGAGGAATTAAACAAAAAAGGACCAACTTTGAAGTGATATCAATCATATGCTTCCATGCTCCCATTGTCTTGTCATCAATAAATCTATTTAAAGCAAGTATTTGATCAACTGCTTATGCAGCCAGTCAACGAATCTTTTAAAATCAAGTACAATGTAGGGACAATGATCGCTACTGCAGTCCCACAGTACTGGAGTCAAAAAGCAATCATATTCAATTACTTTAACTTAATTTCATGTGAAGGCTTTAAAAATGAAGAATCATGCATGTAGAATTGTAAATGAACACATTTGGAGGCTTAAAGACTGAAGAATGATGAATAAACAGTTTGACTTGATTTTTGTATTTGACTAACATAAGATCAATTTTAATTCTACTGTAATTTGAAGTCACTTTTCAACTGTTTCTTTTTTTTTTTTTCTAATTAAAAATGTGCTTGTCCCACAGACAAGTCATGTCAAAGGTTTACATGTCCAACAAAATTTCTCCCTGTCCCGGACAATCGGACAAAGTTTTGGCACACCCTAGTTATGTAAATTTTGACGAATGCATGATGTGGGAGCAGATTTTTGCATTAGACGAAGGAGAACCTTACTATGTGTGTACCATACATGAGACAGTAACTGTTCTGTATGCCATGCCATTTCACGGTTTAGACGCCATCTTGCCTGGCCCAGCACATTTTGCCTCGATCTCATGTGTTCAGTTTTTCTCACCCCGCAGCTGGTATCTATTTTGTGACACTTGTTCACAGATGAAACGTTGGCGATTTTCTGTTCACTACAGGTTTGTTTATAGTTTTTCTCGCGGTTTTCAATTGATTTTTGTTCATATAGGAAAATTTCCATCCTAAGATAATCAGATACGTAGATATTATGTTAACAATGCGTTCTGCACACTGTATTTGTTTTTATGGATTCAAGCAAGATCAGCTTAGATCGACCATATTTAATTCTGTTACAAATTACATCTTTTCGCTTTTAAAGCTATTTACAGTGTTTGTTTTTTCCTTTTTTGTCACCATTTTTCAAAAATATACAAGAAGTTGAACAGTTAAACGTTGACCTTTTCATCTCACTAATTCTGGGTGCGTTGAATGAGGTGAGTTATGTTAGCCAAGTGTCATGCAACAAAGGTTTAAAGTGATACTCGATGCTTAAACTTTTCAGATGATTTTAATTTTTCTGTATCCCAATTTTTAGCCAATTTTATTGACCATCCTAGATCGCAAAGGAATATCCTGAGGATCATAGTCAGTGTTTGGCCTGTTGTTACTTACATGTACTTTACTTAGAGGTTTAGCCAAGTAAATGTAAAAAGTACAGTACGCTCTCGCATTTTTGAGGAAAAATGAAAAAATAGCAACTTGTTAAGTGGATAAACAGTAACACTGATAAGGACTGCTGATATTCGTATCCATAAAAGTGTTTGATTTTGATTTCTCAATATCACAAGCCCATCAGGTTTTGCACCCCCTTTCCACTACCACTCACTACCAACACACTCCCCTAATTTGCAATTATTACTAGTACAGATGCATATTAAGTGCCAGGTATCCAAGCATGCACCCCGGTCCCCGCCCCCTACTTAAGAATTTGTTCATGCTTAGCATGCGTATATCGAGTTATGGATGCACGCGGGAAGTTTGGAGAGCACTCTAGCTTCTTGAGTGCTCTCCAAACTTCCCAAGTGCATCCATAACTCGATATACGCACAGCTAAAACCATGAGCAAATTTTTTTATAACATAGCTGACAAAAATGCTTGCTTTTTGATGAACTGCAAAATTCTCGTAACGCGCTACACAATAACAAATGGTTCTATTGGCTGATTACGAACACGCCACAATCGTCTAGTTTGAATGAAAATATTCTTTCTGTAAAACTGAGAAAGAATATTTGCTTCTTTATTCGTTAACGACCAATGGAAACTAAGCAGAAACAAAGGTAAAAGAGTCTTAAAGTTCACCTAAAGTTAAAATACTAACATGTTCGTAAGAAGTCGTGGAGTATGGTTTGGATTTGCTGAAAAGATGTTTACGTTTTGCTCGGCGAAATCCAGAAAACATGTTTTTAGCGAAGACGACTGTCATCCTTCTTTAAACTCATATTCATTTACGAACATTGGCTGGTCATTACGGCTTCTTGAGAAGACCTAGCAGCAGGTGTTTTTGTGAGTAATAAATTTATGTCTTCTTGTGTAATTTGTGTTGTTATTGCGAGAGAAATCTTCCCGAAGTCGGATTGTCCGGAGATAACAAAAGTCCATAACAAATTTAAAAACAACAATAAAAAAGGAAATTTAACCTTTAAATGTTGTTGATGACCAGTTGGTGTCTGTTCTGTTCCCAGTGAATGTCTTTCGGGCAAAATTTGCTGCAGCTGGTCTTCCGACAAATTTGCGAAACGCGCAACACGCGAGTTTTTTTTAATTCGGCTTCATTTTTGCTGCTTGTTGGATCAGGACCTAAAAGCAGGTCAATGCCGATAGAAAAATTGTGCAGTTCTTCGCTGGTTTCTTCCATATTTTAAAGAGAAGGAAAACTGCACTGCAGCTTAAAATACGACAGCTTTGCAGCCACTTAAAAAAAATGCTTACGTCATCTTATTTACGCACGGGCGTGCGTAAATAAAGATTTTGTTCATAGCGGCTCAATAGGACTTATATAGGGCAAGCACGCGCGCTATGTTATAATCCCCGATTGCCTCACGTGTTCGATTATAGCTCTTCAACCACGCTTACATAATCGGATGCGTAAAATGCCCGGTTCTGCTGCCAAAAAAAATGAAACCGGATACAATCACCAAAACCGTAATAATAATTATACTGAGCAATTAAGCAGTAAAAGCAAACGCGTCAATTCAGGCCTTTGTAAAATTATCGTCGTGTATTCTGGGCTTCATAAACTTTCAAGCGTAGTTAAAAGCTTAAATTAACGCTTTCTAATTTCGTACCTTGAACATCTGAAACTTGCATTGTACATTTCACGAGGTCACCAGATCAACTTCCCTTGCGGTCGTCGTAGTGGAAGCGAATCATTTAGGACTCTTTGCTTGTTAAACATGTCCTCTCCATTCCAGCTTCACTGCGGCTCCGATGTTGTTTTCTTCTTCCTATTTCAACAAGAAGGAAATCTTGTCGAGTAGCGTTGCTGAAAGCAAAGTTTGCACGAAAGTGGACGTTTTGACCTCGACAGGTCTTTCACCTGTAAAGAAAGATTAAAAATAGTTAGCGACAGCTCGGTAAAAATCCTTAAGCCTAAGAAACTGTAGACCTACCACTGTCTGCAGAAAGAAAAGGAAAGCTAGGAGTAGGACAGCTGAGCAATGCAACCAGCATGGCAAGCAAAACATACCACATGAGCTAAGCATGTGCGACGACTCATGCGCAGCAAATGCGCCGCGTTCCTTTTGGTCAGTCCAAGGGGGGGCGAGGGTGGGGGTATTGTTCTACCGCAAAGTGTACCTCTGAGGGATTCCATTTACAAGTTAAAAATAAAAACACCTTTCTCTGAGGGATTTCATATAAGCAATTCTAACGTTTTGCTCCGTTATACTCTTTTTATCAATCACTCCTGTTTTGTGCGAGCTTCACAGGCTACCGATTCAATATCGTATTATTTTCAAGATTCTGCTCCTCGTGTATAAATCACTGAATGGGACATCGCCTAGCTATTTAACTCAGAAACTACATTATCGTTCTCATACTAGATCATTGAGGTCTGTTAGTAATGAACTTTTAATGCAACCTAGATCGTATACCAAGACTTACGGAGATAGAGCATTCGCTGTTCATGCACCAAGAGAATGGAACTTAATACCCTATGAGATTCGGAAGTCCAACACCATCTCGAGTATTAAAAGATCACTTAAGACGTACTTGTTTTAATACTAAATTCAGTAATAACAGATCACTGTTTCTATAGATTTGTATATATTGCGTTAGTTTTAATTTTTCCCTTTTTCAATCATTACGAATAAAATAGTTTAGTAGTTGCTTTAGTTTTAATTTTTTTTTAATTTAATTATTAAAATTTTTTTAATTTTCATTGTAAATATAATTAGGATATGGCTGTAAATTTGTAAATATTTATCAATAATGTTGTTTACATGACTGTAAAGCACCTTGAACATAGGATAAGAGCGCTATAGAAATAAAGTTATTATTATTATTATTATTATTAGATTTCTTCCCGGGGGGGGTACTGCCATATATGGCCTATACAGGTATGTGCCGCTGTGAAGGGTATGGTTTTCAAGCAGTTGACTCTGGGATATGGTGTATAAATCAGAGAGTTTGGGTCTAGAATAGGGTATCATTTTGTAGCTACAGCAATTAGCCGCACGTTTAATTAACTTATTTTTTATCCGAAATCTTTGTTTTCTGCACGTGCACGCTAACGCAATTTGTAGATTTAACGAGAGAGTTCTTTCTAACGCAAGCTAGGACGTACGCGAAAGCGCCGCGCAATTTTGTTGTTAAAAGGTTAAGTTTTCTGTTTTTGCGGTTAGTTGACGCAAGTTCTTTGTCAATCCATTTCAAGAAGCCAAGAAGTTTTCCTTGTTCTAGTGATTTTAAGGACATCACCAAGGTAAATATTTACGCTACATTTTCTTATTTAAGAAAGCGCTTTGTAATTTTATCCTTTAAGCCAATTTTATCGCTCATTGCATTGTAAAATTTTAGACGAAGTTAAGTTTACACACGACATCATTTACCGTTATTTGGCAATCTTAAGTTTTTACCTTTCCGTCTTGTTACTTTCACGGATGAAATGTATGTATTTCCGTAATTTCACAACCTTATTTGTAAAATACTCTTACCTTTATTTTAGTTCTCACGGTGTTTATGGAAGTAAGGTTAAGAAAGGAAATAAACATCAGTACGTGAACGAGTGTCATCTCATATCTGATCACTGGAGCAATAATTTTCCAGGAAACTGATCAATTGGCTGAAGATTTTAGTCTAGACTAGGGAAACCGGGAATTGCCTTTCAAAAATATGAAAAAATCAAATCGGTTTTGTTTTGGCTGGAATGTGTTTGAGACGTCAGTAGTTTCTGGAAAACTCTGGGATAGGGGAGAGAGGGATTTTGGGAGTTTAGCCTAGTATAGGGTAGCAAAATTCACTTGAACGAGCTCTGGTATAGGCTAAGGGTTCCAGGGTCCCAGTGGCACATCCCCACCCAAAAATTCCTAAAGTATCCCCCCCGGGGATTTCTCATGTTTAAGGAACAGAAGAATTTAAAATAATTTCAATAACATTTCCCGTGCGTTCGAAGTTCTTCATTCTTAAATCCTGTTAGAAATTGCAAGTTCGACAACGTAAGTTGATCGCGAGATGCGCCATCTTGTCTCACGAGCCGAAGATTGCCGAAGCAACTTTCGTTTCTAGTCCTCCTCGATCACCTCCTTCTGAGGGATTCCATCTAGCCACCACCTTCTTCAAACGTTGGATAGGGCTATACAGCGCAGCGGATAAGTATTAGGGAAGCAATTACGCCATCCGCTGGACAGAGATTTATCCAGATATCCACCTTTCGAGCAGTTAGCGCCATCTACCGGATAAATCACTATCCAGGGTTGATTAGTATAACAATTGCGTTATTCACTGGATAGCTATTAATCGGGGCCAAGTTGTTCGAATATAGATTAGCGCTAACCCGGGGTTAAATTTGAATCCGGGATTCTTTTTCTTTCGTTTAAAAGCATTTTCAAAAGAATTAAACTGAATTTACTTTTTAAGCTTTTATATCTGAATTTAAAATTCGCACTAACCCTAGGTTATCTTAACCCTGCTTTGAACAACCCGGCCCCGGTGGATAGCGTTATCCACCTTTTGAACAACTGGTACCTGGTTCCTCCATTACTTGGTACTATATTGCTTTGTTGTCGTCTGGCACTCTGAGTCTCTCTCTTTACCCAACGAATCAGTTTGTTTTTTTTCGTGTGTTGTTGATCACCCCGCTATCCTCGCTATCCACACCAAGCAGCTAATACAAACAGCGCTTCCTAGGGGTCCTTTTATTGATGTAGTCGTGCATGTTCAAGCTGGACCGACTTCAAGTTGAAAATGAAACACATTAGGGTGAATCTAAACTGCGATCAGGCCTTCCTTCTTTCCTTTTTCTGACTTTCGCGCTGTAGCACTTTTCCCAGGGCACCTCAACCTGCTATCAGGCGTTCTTTTTTTTCAGGGAAGAGCGACGGGGCTTCCAGAAGAAAAAGGTAAGAAGGACTGCCTGATCGCGGGCTATTAGGCGTCTTCGCCCTCGACAATTGTTAAATTTACTACAAAAAGCTATTACGTGATCTAGTTTTTTCCCCAACTATATCTCAGTAATTAGGTCAATTAGGAAGTTCTGTACTGTGCTTTTATAACAAGTTAAACCTAAATTCTTTCATTCATATACTTACCTGCGAAATCTCTTGGTAACTATCCTAAAGAGAAAGGTAGGTTTAACATTACAAATTCAAGCTGCTTCACGTAGCCAAAATTAATATAAACTGATGGACAAGGAGTCAGGCTATTAGCATCTGCTTCAACTGGTCGGGGGAAAAAGAGCAACGTAGACTACGAGTAGCTCCCATTTTTCCTCAGAGATAGTAGAGCGTGCGAAACGCGAACTTGCGTGAAAATCACCCCACGCGAGAAAGGCGTCTCTCCACCGCGTCTCGCCTTTCTCGCATGGGGTGATTTTTACGCGCGCTCGCGTTTCGCACGCTCCACTATCCCTGAGGAAAAATGGAGACCAATCGTAGTCTAAGAACAACGCGACTGTTCCTCCAAAAGCCAAAGCGGGATACTAGTTACTGAGTTCAATTTTTCAGCGATGATATCATTTCATTCTTTACCAAACGAAACCTGTTAATAGAATCACTCAAGATGACGAAATCATTTGTACGGGCATGCAGACCCCTTCGCATTCCCCTTCCCAACGCAATCCAAGCCAACGGCCACCCTACTGGAAAGACTGTTGCGAGGACGCTCCATCAAGACATTGTTTTCAGTTTCTCTTGAGGCTATTTTAACTCCCAAGAGAAACTGAAGACAATGCTTATGCAAAATTTTGGGGTGACCAACAAAGAGCATTATAGCGTGTTATGGTATTTTCTGGAGTGGTCAATTGTTTGAACATCATGAAGAGGTATTGAATATGTTACTGTGAGGAAAAGAAATTGACTGCTTTGTTGTTGGCGAAGGGTTCTTTGTTTTATTGTTATTAGTTCAGAAAAGATACATTTTTTGGGACCGTTAAAACTTTCGAATAATACCTTCAATTATTGAAAACTAAATCATTGGAAAATGAAATCAAAGAGTTTTGATTGGCGTAGCCATAATAGTATATGAGCCATTGAACCATGCTCTCCAAATATGGTCATTGTACACGTTAGTTCAAAATTAGCGTCGCTTCTTCACGCTATTGCAAAACCACATGTGTCATTTTACTTTGTTCAATTCGCTTTGAATTTTGGAAAGGACTTGTTACCACCCCCGGTTTTGAACGTTCATTTTCAGGGGTAGAAGTGACGCTTCAACACCGTTGAGAGATAACCAAAATTGCCCTGTATATTGCACAAAAGAAATGGCGGTTTTTACGAATGCAGCGCTTTCGTTCTCTTCAATAAGTAGGGAAGTTAAAAAAATATCACGAAATTAATGCACTCAAAGTCAAGGACTTTACCAAAACTCTCCTTCAGAAGATAAAGAAGAATTATTTTGAGGTAGAGCTTACGCCAATTTCTTTATTCAATTCGCTTACAAATTTGTAAAGGACTTGTTACCATAGCCACCCACGGTCCTCAAACACTCATTAGTGAACTTACGTAACAATACGAGAGAGGAAAGAAGATGGCAAACCTTGTGTGACAAGCGTGACAACAATTTTGTTGGAAAAAAAATTTCTCTTAAACTTCACTTTCCTTTAAACAGATCATTATTTTTGTAAAAGACCAGAAAACATTAATATTAGTCACGTTTGTCACTCACAAGCGTTTTGCCGTCCTCTTCGTTCTGTCGTTCTGTTGCGTAAACTCACTATTTTCACTAGTAGGAGGCCTATTCTATTGTTTTAACATCATGGAGAAATATTAAATATTACTCAAAGAAAAACAAAGTTGATTGCTGTTTGGTTGGCCTAGGCCGCCTTGTTTAATTTATTTACTTATTTTCAAAAAAGAATAACTTTCTTTTCATGTTGTAAACTGGCGTATGATACCTTCAAATTTAATTACTCAGAATCAGTGCAAATGAAATTGGTTTTTCATGGTATATGAGCCAATGTACCACACTTTCCAAGTATGGTTAAAGTACACGTTAGTTCAAGATTATTCAGTATTTCAGATAATGCAATTTCTTTG